ACCGCCCGATTGGATCCACTCTTTCAGTAGATATTCATAAAAACTGTCTCCGAGTGCACCCATAGATATGTGAGCTTTCAATCAATTCACAAACAATATATAATTCACTTAATGTTAACGACAAATGGTTGAGTGTTTAATTATTGCTAAATTAAGGCTTAAAATGTTACAATTCTTGGTATTGATAAAAAAGTTTAAGAAATGTTAATTATTGGCAATTATTGCATCATATTTATACAGGAATTGCCATATTTTGGAAACAAAAGCTCAAAATAACTACAGTATCGATATAATTAGTATTAAACCCGAATTGAATAACTAAATTAAATGTTTGAAAAATGCGTCTATTTTTATACTTGATATGAGGGCCGTGAAGCCCTTCAGGTAGAAATTGAAAAAGGAGCAGAATTATAATATGCCTGACTATGCATTACCTGTCAATACAGTGTCTTAGGATTAATGTAATATAGCATTACAGCTGTTAATGCATTCAAACACACATTATTACCATATTTTAAATTAAATCATTAAAATAATAGCACAAAATGATTGCAAATAATATTATGGTAATAATTATGAATACATACGTTGACCAAATTGTCCGGTTTTGGGGTTAATATAGTTAGGATAGAGTCCTCCGTGAGGTTTAGTGAGTGCATTGAGAATGCGTCTAACATTCATCACTTTGTCTTTATAGGTGTCATCGCCGGTAATGTCACTCAAGTAGAGGAATTCCAAGTGAAGAGTTCCCACTTCGGCTAATATAGAGCTGGACTGTGAGGCCCAGACGTAGTTCTTGCTGTGGCCGGTGGACGGGTTGACGAGTGCGTGAGGTATTCCTGTGGGAGTGTTGAATGCGGGCAACATTTTCGTGGCGATAGCGTTGGCCCTCTCGATGAACATCTCGTCTTTGGTGAACGCATAGCACGTGAGAAGTCCGCCCACGAAGCGGATGATTGTCTCAAACACAGACACTTCGCTGTTCACGTCTTGGAGGTGGAGGTTCTGGTCGACCCAATCGCGCCCTTCTTTGAACTCCTCTTTCAAACCCATAATGAAAAGTGTGTCCAATCCGTCGACAATTGTGGCCCCTTTTGGTCGTACAAGACATACATCAGTGCTTTCGTAGAGACAGTGATGAAAGCAAAACAATACCTAATTTGGTTGTACCGAAAATGCCGGCCGAGTGGCCCTTCTTGGACACGGGTCTCAACTCATTCTCACCCCACGCGTAGGTCTTGTAGTGAATCCACGCCTCTTTCATCATCTCTTTGATGAAATCCCGTTTGCGTCGAACCTCAGGGTCGGGATCATCACCACTGGGAAGCACTAGTGGTGTCCATTCATCTGAATCCGATGGCCCGAGTGTGGGATCGGGTGCCAAACCATTGACATTAGGTTTGGGCAAAACAGCACTTAATTGACTTAAATTATAGTTCAACTGTTCATTGATTTTGACGCGAAGTCGTTGTTTGTCCTCAAACTTAGCTCTGGCTGTGTGTGAGTCGTGAAACCATTGACATTAGGTTTGGGCAAAACAGCACTTAATTGACTTAAATTATAGTTCAACTGTTCATTGATTTTGACGCGAAGTCGTTGTTTGTCCTCAAACTTAGCTCTGGCTGTGTGTGAGTCGTGGCCTAAGAGGGGGTGCGGGGACTCGACGGGTGGCACTAACCCTAGGAGGTCGGGCCCTAAGCTGTCGGCCGGTTTGATATACTTATAGACATTACTGGCCTTCAGTTGCATTTCAGGCAGAAATGCCACTCCAATGACACTAAACACTATGAATACGATGACAACCAAAACCAATAAATACTTCTCCCGTATCCGGAGTATCGATCGCCCGCTCACTCCCGAAGTCACCGAAACTCCTGTCAATGGACTCGAGTGGCGCGAGTAATGCGATGGCAGAAGACCTCCTCGTGAAGACATACTGTCCATCTGTCCATTCACTTCATGAACACATTCACTCGCAATGCAATCATGTCTTAGGATTGGATTCAATGCAAAACTGACAACAGATCACAACAACTGTTTCACTCAAACATATCATCAGTTTAGGTCCAAATCATACTAAACACTCATTCATACATCACGTCCACACATACAGACAATAGGCAACCCCTCTGTCCCCCCCTCTAATACATGCAACTAATATATCACAAACTCAACTCACAATGGAGTGAACGTAATATATGAGTAGTTTGGCATAAACTCAGTGTTTGTTTTTGAAGTAAAATTACAGTACAGTCTGTAATATAGGTTTTGAATGACGTTTCGTAGCGATAATTGGCGTCACTTTCAAAGCAATCATTCATTGCATTGACTGACAATCCAGTGTTTAGTTCATTAATTATTAAGCAATGAATATTTAATTTATAGCTAAACCTGATTTGCCTTTTAGTAATAATACATAATTTAGCACTGATTCAGATACAGTCTAATGTAGCAATTCATTGAATTGTTATCAAGTTGGTTCCACAAATAAGCAATGAATATTTAATTTATAGCTAAACCTGATTTGCCTTTTAGTAATAATACATAATTTAGCACTGATTCAGATACAGTCTAATGTAGCAATTCATTGAATTGTTATCAAGTTGGTTCCACAAAAATTAATACGGGTAATATTAATTTAATATGCACATGCTTGAATAATTGTGTTGATTGTAATAACTCATACAGTAATAAATTTTGGGAAAGTTATGTCGATTGGCAAAATACTAAATGAATAATTAAACAGCACTTGTCAACTGAATTTGCAATTTATTGTTCAAATAAACCAATTAATTGCAGATTTAATGTTAATGATAAGACATATGATTGTTTCGTTTGACCACAAATTATGGCACAATTAAAGGCGTAATCATTGATTGCATTCAATTAAATTAGTTTTGTAAACAGTATAACTGTAATAGAAAATAGCATTTAAATTAATATAATAAAATATAGCTAATTAAAAGTAAATTCTTGTAAATCAAATCAATTGGTTCCCGTGTTTGTAGTGAACACTCATTGAATAAGTATTGAAATAAGAGTGAAATAACTGATTGACAAACGCTGTGAATGTGTTTCAAACACAGGTCTCGGCGTCTGATTCACTAATTCGCGACAAATTCCAAAAACAATTCACATTTGAATCTGTAATTGAAAATAAAATAATTGTCAAAACCATCCATACATTGATAACACAAACCATTGCCATTGATTGGACTTCGTTTGATGAGCAGATCCATGGCTCGATGTGTGGAAACAATAAGTTTGGTGCGCTCGCCGGCGCCGGTGTGTTGATTGCTAACAGTGTCCGACACTAACAGCAGCTTTTTGACCACATCTTTGCCCAGAATATTGTCGAGAATTGCTTGTAAATAAGGATCACAAGAGATGGAGAGTTTGAGTTTATCTCTATTCCACACCAGAAGACGAGATTCCTCTAAAGCCACGATTGACACCTGATATGTCTCGTGAGATCCCACACCAAACCATTCGGGAGAATCCAAGAACTGATGGCTGTCTATAATATGAAGGGTCTGTCCGGCCCTTATGATGGACACCCTTCCCGACAACAATAGAGTCAGTCGATCGACTCGAGTGCGACCTTCGATGGCATAGATATCATTGGATTTGAGTGTTTGTATCTCTCGGGTGCAGAAGTAGATCTTTTTGAACGCTTTCCGCGACACTCGCAACGGTTGGAACAGATTTCTGTAAACCATTTCCACGTCGTGTGGAAACCTATTGTCAAGACATAAACAAATCAATGAGATGTGAATCAGTGGTGTCTTCGACGAAAGCAAACCTAACGAACGGATGTAACCTCCAGACGATGCAAATCACATGAATGGCATTGATTGCCGTGAAGATCACATTCCAGACAATGATATCCGACTCACACAACACTATCCACGCCCACAACGACAGGAAGAGACAGCCGATGGAGAGACACGAGCGCAGGAACAGCACTCCGAAGAGGCTGTTTGTGGCCAAGTAGGCCATCAGGAGGAAGACATTTGCCGTTTGAAACAACACATGATTGGGTCGTTTCCACACCAAACACATGGACAACGGTCTCACCGATGCAAACGTATCGAAGATCAACGACTCATTCATGTCTTCATTTCATTTGTCACTTAAATCACATGCAATTCAATCGATTGGATCGACTGAAGAGTCAATAAAATAAAAATAAATAAAAACTTTTGACAACTTTTTCTCACTATTCATATGACTTGAGAGTCGACTCAAACACTCACTCTTTGCTACTCATCTACACTAACACTCCCTTTACTTAACACCACTTTTTGATTGTATATCCAATTAGTCTATACTTTTGACCAAACATTTCTCACGAGGAATATCTTCAGCGAAACTTATTGTATGACAGAAATTATTTGACTATAAGCTTAGAGTCTAAGCAAATGTTGTAAGTGTTGTATAGTGAGTGCAAACTGTATGTGCATTGCATTCAAACAATGTTTGCATTTCACGACAGTTTGAGCGCCAAATAGAGGCAACACATGAGTGACACTCTTCTGGCCATCAATTGATCCATTCATTGATCCATTCATTGCACAGTCAGACATGTCTTTCACATCGAAATCACTCAAAAGCAATTCATCGCAAGGTAACCTCTCGAGAGGTAACGCAAGTAGTGTTCAACTCAACCAACAGATCCAAGAGTTGAGTCAAACGATTACCAAACAAATAGCCGAAGATTTGCCACTTTTGAAGCCACACGTCGATTGGAGAGGAATGGCTCATCCCATGCCTGTCATCAACAAGTAATCAATTGATCCCTTATTTGATTTGTAATTATTTGTTCATTTGTTTTCATTTGGGATACAAAGCAAACACAACAATCAAACCATAAGTGAATCCCAATTGATGTCAGAAATCAATGAAATGAATGCAAGACTCGATCCACCCGTCAATGGTATCAAACATGATGTCAATCAAGATAATGATAAGCATTTGGATCTATTGAGTGATAGCACCAATAGGTTGAAGACAACTCTTCCCACTTTCAGACAATTAGTTCACACTTTTGGTAACAAATATCAGAAGCAATCGATTGACGAAAACAATGGTTTTGACCCGAAATGTGTTGATATAAGTGCGGAAAAAGTGGATAAAATCTTAAGAATGTCTCAACAGATTCATCACTTCCAACAGTCGGACAAAATCTTGAATACATTATCCATTCATGAACTCAATTCATAATTTACTTAATCTTTATTTTATTTGATTTAATCTTTATTTTACCGGTACTTACGGTAACATTACTTACATTCTGTAAAACATATCAAATAAATAAGTGATATTTGAAACAAATGGTAATAATATCAATCAGATTATGTGACATAAGATTCAGAACCTCTCAAAAGTGATGATTAGTTCGCAATGATTTGTTTGGGGAAAGAGATCGACGGGAACTGCATTGGTTGGCACGAAAGGAGATCCTAAGGATCGGTTACGTCTGTCTGATGGCAGACACAGATGAATGAAGTTCTTGGACGCATAGCCTTCTGGTTTGCACGAAACGAATACAATCTTTCGGATGCGACTAAATTCACGCAATATATTGATGACACTGGGATGTAGACCACCTCTGGTAGGGTTGGCCACCACTACAATGTCTTGTGAGTACAAGTCGTCGACCAGTTTTGGGAGCTCTTGTTCAACGGGTCCCGCAATAAACACTGTATTTTTGATGCCATTGAGGGCCGCGTTATGTCGCGCGTCACTGATCGCAGACTCGGAGGAATCGATTCCAATCACTCGACACACATCTGGCGCTAACAGAGTGGCCAGAGTTCCCGTTCCGCAGCAGACGTCCAAAACAGTTGTCTTTCGGGTGGCGTTCAACTCAGAGATCACATTCTTATACAGTATTTCTGCGGCACTCGTATTGATTTGGAAGAAGGAATCGACAGATATCTCAAACCGTTTATCAAAGAGTGTTTCAGTGATAGTGCGGTCGCCGAAGAGGTGAACGAACGGCGCCTTTTCATTGCTGAGTCGCGTATGTCTGGACGCCTGGAAGTACAGGGATTTGATTCGTTGGTCGCCATCGAAGTAATCTCTTATCCTTTGCATCTCTTCATCCAATTCGCGTTGAGTGAGGTCTTGCGGATGCATAATAGCTGTCACCATATGATGACCGTCTGTATTGGATCTGATGTGAAGTCTTCTCCAGTGACCGCCATCTCCGTAGTTCTGACACGAATCGTATTGTGAGATGTCTTTCAAATAGATTTGAAACTTCTTAGCGATACTAAGATGTGATTCACGGCTAACAACCATGTGATCCGGTTCTACACAATAGACATCCGAGTGGACAGAGGGCTGGCCCACGAAGAAGCCCACAGTCTTCGTGAAGCCGTCAACTCCCGGCCAAACACTAAACTCGTCTTTATTTCTGTAGCGTTCAGTCAGTGGCGAGCCTTTGACGGACTCCAGAGGACACGGAAGTCCTTTATGGTTGACCACAACGGGTGAGTTCACTGATCGCAGTCTGTGACCAAAGTTTTGAAGGATTTGTTGATTCTTCTTGTATTTGATTTGCAATTGCTTTTCGTAATCCATGGGATATAAAGGCATTACAATCCGGTTGAGGACTTCGAAGCGGTTCTCAAGGGTGATGTGACACGGATTGGGCATCAGTTGACGCATCGATTGTCTCACTGAAGACAATGAAGACATTGTCAATTGGATGTACTCTTACAGCGATTGACACAATGTTTACAATCAGTGTCTCATGTGATCACATGTTTGTCACATGTATTGCAAGAATAGGTGACATCTGTTGTGGACTCGAGTTCCAGACATTTGGTCCCAAAATGGCAAACATTGACTGCATTTCCATATCACTGGTGAAGAACCCGAAGTGTCTTATCCTCAGGTATTACGACAAACAGAGTACTAAATACAGGAAAAGAGTTGTTCCCATCCGTGACCACAACATCACTGATGAGTCCATCAACAAGATCTGCGACCAATTGATTGCCAGACATAAGCCATATCTTGATTTCGTTTCACGCAATCATATCATCCATTTGTTGCGATTGTTGTCCAACAAGAGTGACCATAATTTTCTGGCCATCAATGACAACAAGAGTGCCGACGAGTTACCCTTCAACGAAGACGACGAAGAATTTGTTTTCTGAAAGCGATTGTCTGCTACTCTTAGGCGAAGGAAACTTCAGTTTTGCTACACATTTGAGTCGATGTTTTCACTGTAAGATCATTGCCACAGATGTGTCCATCGATCACACGAGTGATCCATTAGTTGATGACAACTGTCAGCACCTCATCAATAATGGACACGAAGTTTATTTCGGAGTCGACGCCACAAAACTCGAGGAATGCCTTGAGTTGAAGTCTCGCGAAGACATAAATCAGATAATTTTTAATTTCCCGCACGTCTTGAGTAAGAAAATGAAAATTGGTTTAAATCGGGACCTATTGAAGCACTTCTTCGAGAGCGCCCAACGATTCATTTGCGACCGAAACGTGAAACTAATGGTCAGTCTGTGTTCGGGTCAGAGCGGTGTCAATGAGGTTGAGTGTCTAGGCTCTCTCACCAGACTAAGCACCGTTAACGGGCTTTACCGGTGTTTGCCGTTGAAACAATAGCAGCTACTCTATGACTTCCCGTTTGATTACCAATCGTTTGGCTATAGATTAAGAAATATTTCTTTTAACACTAATTCCGCCAAAACTTTTGTTTTACAAAAACGAGATAACATTGATATGAATTCCGGAAAGTTATCTCAAATTCTTTTAAACAACGAAAAGAATTTATTTTCTAATAATTTGATTATTGGGTTAATTAACGACTTGGAGGCCATATGTAAGCACTCAGTGATCACCCGAAGTGAAGTGAATATAACGAGAAATGTTTATCCATTTATTGATCATTGGGTTGATGTTCACACTGAAGTGGACACACTTTCAAAGTTAATGCATTATTTGAATGCAAAACATGATTCTGTAGTAACCAATGATTCTGTAGTAACCAATGATGAGATTGTTATCAAAGATATAGTGATCGGGTTTGACTCACTATCAATACAGGCCGATTCACAGCTCGCTAATAGAGTTGAGTAAACCTTATATTCGCTAAGGTCTTAAGAAACCAGATTTATAGATATAAAGCTAGTTTGTCTATTAGTGATGTTCTCTGGAAGTCTGTTTTATCGACAACACATCCACGACATCTCGTTTTGGGTGAATTCTGATTCATATTATTCACAACTAATTGAAACAATTTTAGATGTTTTTGGGACTCTTTTCAAATCAATTCAATTAATGGATAGTTTTGAATGCAATGGCAAGTCATCTAAATGTTATCGAATTGTTTATGAAAGCATTGATTGTGGTCTCAATCGACAAAAGTGTACTCATATGCAGAATACAGTCAGAGACCTATTGTCACGAAATTATAGTTTTATTATGAGATAATACTGTATATGATTTTATTTAAATTATTTTCAAATATCATTACTTATAATAAAATAATCGTTATGAACACTTTTGTCTATGAAAGTAATTTTTATTTACATAATATTCTATTTTTTAATAAACTATGAATAAACAAAAGTTTTAAAAATTAATTAATATATATTTTTTAATCTAACGTACTGTACAATATAATACTATAATTATAAATTAGGATGTACGGTATAATTAAATTATCGCCATTTATGTCTTTCTAACAAATAAATTAAAATTTATATGAGCCACAAAAATACTTATTTGTTTAAGTATTATTTTATATAAGTACGGTAATATACCTTGAATTGTAGAATATTAAATTATTGAAATTAATTATAGTTACTAAAAAAATATACTCTTAATTTTGATTTTGAAATGGAGTTTGTTTTATTGAATATCAAGATATATAATTTATATAAGAATATATGCAGAAAATATATTATAGTTTTGATGTTATCTTAAATGTAATAATGTGTTAATAATATAAGAATATTCATGGTTTCGTATTATTATGTGATTGAATATCTTCATCTGTATTGACAATGTTAAATAATTATAAATTCATATAAAAATTGTATATGAATTGTAGAATTCTGTTAATAACTAGACATCACTGAACATTGAAAAATTATAAATACTGAATTAGACTTTGTATAAAACTTTGCTACAAAATCAAAGTTGCCCCAAGTTTTTACTATAAAATTGCACATTAAAATTTTAAAAATTGATAATATGCTTGAATCAATAAAATAAACATAATTAAAGCCTAAAGATAATTAAATATAGCGACAGTTATTTGTATACCCTAATAAACCCCTAAAGACAAAATACTGTACAGAGAAAACATAGTTTTAATTTTAACTATAATATTTCTGTATTTCAAAATATTTAATAAAATATTATATAATATTATTAAATTTCGTTAGTATTAATTACTAAATTATTGCAATAGATATTAATATTTTATACTTTCACATTTGTTACTAATTTATAATTCTATAGAGAATATAATGAAATATTCTGCGATATTATATTTATAGCTACAATAAAAATTCAACAGTTTTGCAACACTATCTAAAAATTTCAGAAATATTAGTCGTTTTTCGGAAAAAACTATTGACCTACTGCAAGTTATTTAGTACAAATAAAATTGATTGTTCAATATAGATATATATATAGTGTATTGGTGAAATATTATATATTGATTGTTGAATATAACAGAATAAAAAAAGATTTATTATATAAAGTAATGCCACTTATATTGACCTTCAATTCTAGAATAGAAAGTCTTTGAAAATGACGCTATGGTTACAGACTTAGAGTTACTATTCATTCACTGCATCCACACTATAGTACAGTATAATAGTAGACGTTTCCAACCAAATAGAGATCCCAATCATATATATACAAAGAATTCAGATTCTGTTATATTTTAGCATATATTCTTCACTTTGAATTTCATTTATAAATTACAATATTCATGCGATTAAAATGGGTTACTTTAATAGACTAAACTTAGTCGCATGAAATGCTTTAAGCATTTTTAAACTAAATTCATTTTTTGCAATAATTTTTATTTATGACAACGCCTTAAAAATAATTTTCATTCAAGTGATCAAATGATTGGAATAATAAAATATTTTCCTAAATTAAATGCCTTTGAATTTTATGAGTATTTTTAGAAAAATATTTTTATAGCTCAATAAAATAGCCTCAAGTACATTAATGATTTACAATACTGTAAAAAAACGAGTCTTAAAATAATCAAAATATTGCCAAACTTAAGAACTTGTTTTGGTAATGAAAATGATTCAAAATACGCTTATTGTTTATAAAGTAACTTATTATTCTCTGATTATATTTGATTTCATAATTTTATAGCCTTTTCTTATATCATATGAATCTTCAATTCTGTCCTTTATTTATAGATTTTATAAAAATTAAGTGCTATTAAATATCATGAAATAAAATTATACTATCAATTAAATTATCAAAATTATGAAACTATTAGAAGAATAGCTAAACACAAATTATGAAAACATGTCGATCCCGGTAGCCCTGTCCTCATTGACTTACAGTATGTTCTAATTAAGTAAATTCATTTAAGGAGTCATAGTATGGCCTAATAGTTAACAATCATTGCCATTAGATTTGATTTAGTGTTGATTAAAAAAATTTCAAACTAAAGATAAGCATAAAAGCTATGAAATAGGAGAACAAATATATTGAAAACCTAATGCTTACTTATGGCTGGAGATTTAACTCTTAATATAAGAACACAATTCAAATCTAATCGTAAGTAAGTGTAGTGTGTTTGTAGTGAGCGCAAGTGTGAGATGTGTATTGACACACGAGAAGCGTGTTTTTCTTTTTCAAATTTCTATTTTAATAAATCAAAAATAATATTAAGTTTAATATTAAGTTTAATATTATTTTTAGAGCTATTCTATCATAGATTGGCTTTTTTGTAGTTAAAGTCATTTGGATTTGAGGCAAACGAATTAAATTATATATAAATTATGAAATATTGTGATAATAAACTCTACAAACCAAACGATTCTGAGTTATTATATTAATAGTAAATTGAATTTTTTAAAAACTAGTTCTAAGATATAATTGTATTAAATTGAGCTCAACATTGGATCACAAGAAGTATTAATAAATTATACAAATTTGAAGCAAAGTTAGTTAATTGGTGACTGGAATCGCCCCCACAATCGCTCACTCATTAAAGACATCAACTTTTAATTCAAGGCTCTTTGATATTGCAATTTACGAAGCCTTCAACTCTTTCGACGACAACTTCTTCCGAAATATCCCTCAATTATATTCGGCTCTCAATTTACATTCAAAAATCACTCAAGCGTTGTATCTATTGAACTATCGGAGCGAAAATGGTTAACATTTGTGAAAATGGAAAACTTATGGCAAATGCAACCAACAATGGCAAGCAGATTGTCATCAAGCAATCCAATGGCAACTGT